ATCGAAACTCTTTATCATCTCCAGCTCTGAGATCGCAGCCGGCTGAAAGCTGGTTTCTGGGGTTTTGTTTAGCTTCTATATGTTACAATGTTTCTTAAACTGAAAGCTCAGAGGCCGGCAAGGCAGGCGGGGAACGTTGGAGTCCTCTGTCACTGAAGCAAGCAAGACTCATGTTCGCTTCCAGCTGCCTGGCTGCTGGCTGCTATCTTGGCTGGCAGTTAATTTGCATATCGCCCTGATTAGTCAATGGGAAGGGTAGTGGCCGTACGCTAATTACCATGTTTTTTTTTTATTAGATAGGATATTACTAGTGCTGCCATGTCAGACCTATAAGACAGAAAAATGGCAACGCTGGCCTCTCCAGTAACAGGCAGTCTATATCTTGTTTTCCAGAGTATTTGTGCCTAGCTGATATTTTCTGACTGCATCAGTAGTAAAGCCCTGCGTGCAAAACGGCAAGACAACTTTCTTTATGAAGTTTCTTCTTGGACCGTGTGTGGGAGAATACGATTGGTAGGAGCAGGCCTTTTAATAAAAGCCTGTAAAAACAAATAGCTGAAATGACTAAGAAAACATAAAATGACATTTTATAAATCTTGGAATAAGGAGAAATTTATGCAATAATTTGGTTTTGTTCAAATCCATCATGATGTTTCTTTAATTTAGCCATAATTATGCACATGTTTGTACATTTAACTCCCTCATCACAGGAACATATGAGTTGTCACTCTGGTGGAAAGATACTGGGAACAAATAAGGCAGATATAGTCAAAGATGTAGCCAATAATAATGGATGCCACTTCCTGGACATTAGATGATGTACTAAGTACTACGCTAAATATACTAAATGCATTACTTCATTTAATTCACACAACAATGTTTACTTGGTAAACAGTGTTATCACTCCATTCTACAGATGAGAAAACTGAGGTTAAATCACTTGCCAAAGATAACAGAGGTAATACATAGCAGACTGCCTTCAAACACAGCTATGATTGACTCCAGAGAAATAACCTATGTTGGACATCACTTTACTGCAGATATGATGATTACAACAAGGTCATACTTTTTTTTACTACTTTTTGAACCCCAAATTTAATGGTCAAAGTGATCAAAATGGAAGTCCACTTTCCAATATTCTGGATATCATGCAGGAGTTAGAAATTCAGGATCTGACAAATGTATGAACTGAAATGCATCTTATGCAATCTTCTCAGGAGGGCAATTTAGCAATATGTAGAAAAGCCTTTAATAGCAATAGTGGCTTTGGACTCAACAATTTCATTTCTAGTAGTTAATCCTGAGCAAATACCCGTGATATGGGCAAAAAGAAAATACAAAGATATTTTGCTATAAAAGATAGAAAAAGTTTAGGAATATGCTGATTGTTTTATAAGAGGAAGCTATAGCATATTCATATGATGGAATATTATGTAACCAGTAAAAATCATGCTATATGCCAGCAATTTTCAACCTTTTTCATCTCATGGCACACATAAACTAATTACTAAAATTCTGCAGCAAACCAAAATATATTTTGCCGATCTGAAAAAACATAGGTGTAAATTCTTTTTCTTTTATTTTTTATTAAAATAGGTATACATTTTTTAAAAAAATGTTTTTTTTATTGATTTTTAGAGAGAGGAATGGAGAGAGAGAGAGAGAGAAAAACATCGATGTGGGAGCAAAACTTTTTGGCTGCCTCCTGCATACCCGCTACTAGGGACTGAGCCTCCAACCCAGGTGTGTGCCCTGACAGGGAATTGAACTGGCAACCGTTTTGTGCATGGGATGACGCTCATGTGCCAGGGCAAGTATAATTTTGATTCAATTACACTGGATGACCATTGTGTTGGCTGTTGTCATTATTTTTCCTTGACAACCTAAGGGAAAAGAAGTCAGTGTCTCGACGTAATAGTCAGGTATTGCATGTTTTAAAAAGTCTTTAGACATACTGGTTGAAAATCACTGCAAATGCTGTAAAAAAAAAAACCCAAAAAACTTATTGCATGGCTAAAAGGTCTAGGTTTAAAGTTTAAAAAAGCTACCAAAAATGATACCATTTTTTGTTTTGCAAAACTTTTAACACATTTCGTACCGCTCAGGAGTTTTCTTGTGTTTCGAGTGCCATCTGTTAAGGACTGTTCACGAGTGTTCTCGTTTTTCACGCCCATGGAAAAAGGAGCGAATCTAGATACTTATGTAAATTTTGTTTGGTCCCTCTTCATAGAGGAAAATGTTTTACGCAGTACCATACATTAAAAAAGTACTAGGAGCTTTAATTGTTTAATTGTTTTTATAAATAAAAATGTTATAATTATTGAAAAACAACACCTAAAGTGCTTTATGATGATTTAAGTAACGTGCAGTTTGCCCAAAAACGTGCGGTCCCTGGCGTATGTCTTAGAGATTTCTATGCGGTACGCAATGTGTTAAGTACATGCACAAACTGTAGTAGATATGATGTACCAAAAAATTCAGTTGTTCAGCTATGTGTTTTACCATATTTTTCTAAGTCTGTTTACGTTACACAGACCCCATATGTATTCAGTAACTTAAAGGAGTACACTGATAATCCAACCAATTATATGAAGGGGAAAATGTACATTTTATGCAAACCCAACACAAGCCAAGAAAACAGCGAAATAACAGACTTACCCTGATTATTTCAACGGTCCGTGGTCCCATATCCGTGCCTATCAATAAAGAAGCAACAAAATTAACTTTTTAAAAAACTTTATTTTTAATTTTATTTTTTTGTTAATCCTCACCTGAGGATATTTTTTCATTGATGTTTAGGGAGAGTGGAAGAGAGAGAGGGAAAGACAGAAACATCAATGTGAGAGAAACACATTGGCTGGTTGCCTTCTGCACAAGCCCCAACCAGAGCTTGGGGTTGGGGAGGAGCCTGAAACCAAGGTATGTGCCCTTGACTGGAATTGAACACAGCCCTTTTGTCCTCAGGCTGATGCTCTATCCACTGAATCAGACCAGCTGGGGCACAATTAACTTTTAACATTAAGAGATAATATATGTAGGATATAAAATTATCTCCTGAAAATGTGTCATTTCCTAGGCCTTTTCAAGAGAAAATACTGAAACAAGCAGGCATTATATCCTTTCTCAAAATCCAAACCAGCAGTCTGCCTTCTATATTAAAGAAGTCCTCTCTCTCTGAGACAGATGTGGCCATAAGCATTTGGTCTGACAAAAGCTGATGGACTGTAGCAGTAGCTGCCTGAAATATAGTGATTAAATGGCTTGGAAGATAAGCCATTTGTGTTTTACTGTATGTTTTTCTGACTTAACCATCTATCCAAGGAAAGAATTAAGAAGACCCTTGCCCTCACTGGCATATGTACCTCTCACCTTTCTTGAGTGACTAATAATTTAAAAAATTTTTCTCTTTTGTATCCCGGCTGCAGTGGCTCAGTGGTTGAGCATCCACCCATGAACCAAGAGGTCTCTGGTTCGATTCTTGATTAGGGCACATGCCCTGGTTGTGGGCTTGGTCCCCAGTAGGGGGCGTGCAGGAGGCAACCAGTCAATGTTTCTCATCATCAATGTTTCTATCTCTTTTTCTCTCTCTCTAAAATCAATTAAAAAAAATTTAAAAAAAGAGCTTTACAATTTTTTTCTCTTTGTAAATGATTTTACTGTAGGAAACACTTTAGGTTTCTGCTTTTCTACTCTCATGTGATTGGTATAAAGTTAAAGGCATAGTCTAGAAATGAGTCTCTACGGCTTTCCTTCCTTTATAATAGGCCTTTCCGAAAGCTTGGGGCTTACGTGGCCAAGTACAATGATTTAAAAATATTTTAAAGGTAAAAAAATGTATTAAAAACTTAATATTAAAATAACAATTGGGTATCAGGATTTCTTGCTGGAGGCGTGTCCACGGAATACCTGAATTTCTGTGGGAGGGATCAGAAGCTTTCTTTGTGCCAACCAGGCTTTGCAGGCTGGAGATGACAGGAGCCAGGGCCGGGTGGAAGCTGCTGTGTGTGCTGTGCTGACTCCCCTGCAAAGGAAACCCAGAGATCAGCTGTGCTGGAACACATGCTTGGGCTCAACACTTCAAACTTATTAATTAGTGTTTCAATTATGGAACCATAATCATGTAATCGAAAATTCTTAAGATACTAAAAAGAAAACAAAAATTACCCATATTCACTCTCTTACCACCCTAGTACAACCCCATCTAACATTTTCCCCATTATATGTGCTTTCAATCATCAAGGAAGAAAATATAATTTAAGCTTTTCTTCTTCAATGTGAAATAAAAAACATTTTCCTAAGCTGCGACACAGTATTTATATATGATCAGTTAATGGCACTATGTGTTAGTTGGGGCTAGAGTCAACATTGATTCCCTTATCACCCAAAGGACATGATTTATTTTGCTAAAATAAGCATAATAAAACCTTGAATAATAGAAACTTGACCAAATGGAATTCTCAACTGTAGGAGAAAGCAGCAAATATCCTAGGATTATGTTTTTTTAAGTAATACATTAAATTCGTTTTTCTCAAAGATTTTCCTAGGGTCAGGAATAATTCGGCTCCATCGCTGTATCTCCACTACTGCCCTCATAGCTGTCTAACTAAATAGTTGAGGTCTACAATGTATAGTCATGTATGACTAGTGGCTACTCAATGAAATTATATACACAGTGAAGGACCTTTTCAATGAAGAACCCAATGTCACCAATAACAAATAATTTTCCCCCCAAATTATCAAGGTTGTGCCCAATGGCCTCAAAATTTTAAATTAAACCTAAGACTACAATGATCACTTGATGAATTATAATTTAAACCACTTCCTTAGTTCTATGATGAAAGTTGTTTAATGTTTTAACACTCTTTAAATATGAAAAACTTTAAATCTAAGAAAAGTTAAAAGTAGACATCCATACACACACCTAGATTCTACAATTAATATCTTATATAATAAAAGGGTAATATGCAAATTGACCATAACGGCAGAATGACCCAGCTGCCTCCTGGGGTCAGTGCACTTCCACAGGGGGAGCGCTGCTCAGCCAGAAGCCGGCTCAAGGCTGGCCAGCACAGTGACAGTGGTGGGAGCCTCTCCTGCCTCCACAGCAGCACTAAGGATGTCCGACTAACTGCTTAGGCCCACTCTTCGCACCCAGCTTAGGCCTGATCACCCGGGGAGTGGGCCTAAGCCGGCAGGTGGACATCCCCCAAGGGGTCCCAGACTGTGAGAGGGCACAAGCTGGGTTGAGGGACCCCCGAGTGCACAAATTTTTATGCACCAGGCCTCTAGTTTTGATATATTGTCCTTTTCCCATATCCACTCACCTATTCATCACTCAATTTGTGTGTTTTTTTTTAAGTTCATTTCAAAATAAATTATAGACATAAGCACACTTCACAATGAATACATATAAAGGAGTATTTTGATATTTCCCTGAAAAGATATGATTTAAATCAATGGTAATAGATAATACTTAGAATTGGGTAAGTATAATAAATAACTTTTGCCTAAAAAATGTGCTTCCCAAGGCCTTTATAAATATGGACTTCTCCTGGCAGTGTTCCCTCAGGTATCTGAGGAAAAGATTTCTCTTTTCTATTACACACTTTCTTCTGCAGAGTAGATACTCTTTTCCGGATAGTGGGAAAAGGCAGTTTATTTTATTTCATCTTATTTTTTAACCCTCACCTGAGGATATGTTTTTACTGATTTTTAGAGAGAGAGAGGAAGGGAGAGAGAAACATCCATCAGTTGCCTCCCATATGTGCCCCAAACAGGGGTTGAACCTGCAACCTAGGTATGTGCCCTGACTGGGATTCGAAACGGCAATCCTTTGCAGGTGTATGGGATGATGTTCCAACCAACTGAGCCACATGTCCAGAGTGGAAAAGACCTTTTTTAAAAAGTGGCTTCGTGGCCCTAAGGCTAGAAGATCTCTCTTAATGATCCCACTTTCTCTAGGCCAAGTTAACAAGTTAAAATTCTCCCTGGCCCTCAAACCAAGGCCTCTATCACCATAGCTTATAAATGCCCAGAAAGAAATCTGTGCTCCTAGAGGGTCCTGGGCCTACAGATGAAAATGTTTGGGAATGGGTTCTTCTTTTTCTCCATCTGGGTCATGGGCTGGTCTTGAACTTATGATGAAGGATGCTTCCTTTTCACAGTCAAGGTTCTTCCAATTAGCCAAATACCAGTGAAAACTCTCACATCATCTCAGCCATAATTTTAAGGACAAAGTAAGGATAAACTAGATTTATTGTTTTTTCTTAAGACCAAATTAAACTTCTACCCTTTGAAATAAAAACTCTGTGCAAGAAGGTTAGATAGAAGTATTTGATACTTTGTTCCAGGTTTCCAAAAAATGACAGCTCACATTTATATACCAAATAAATGGTAATGGTGGTTGCCATTTAAAAAAAATATATATATATATTTTATTGATTTTTTTACAGAGAGGAAGGGAGAGGGATAGAGAGTTAGAAACATTGATAAGAGAGAAACATCAATCAGCTGCCTCCTGCACACCCCCTACTGAGGTTGTGCCCGCAACCAAGGTACATGCCCTTGACCGGAATTGAACCTGGGACCCTTCAGTCTGCAGGCCGACGCTCTATCTACTGAGCCAAACAAGTTAGGGCAGTGGTTGCCATTTAATGATAGAGCTTCTAAATTTTTTGTTCTGTATTTAAACCTGAGTGGGAACTTTATCAATCACTAAGGCGCTCAATACACATTCCTCAAGGATAGAAACCCAGTTCTACCTATCACCTCACCTGTCAGTCCAAACTTTTCTTAAAACTCTGGAAATCCTTGTACCCTTTGTACCTTTGCATATGCTACTCCCTCTGCCTGGGATGCCTTCTCCCTCTTTCCATCCTAAGAAACTCCTTTCGGAGTGAGACCCGAGGGAACCTCTTCTTTGTAGCTCTCATGTACGCCCTAGAAAGAAACATTTCATCTCCAGTATTGTTCATTCTGCATTCTAACCCCTTGTAGAATGAGGCTTTAATGAAATCACTCAGCAAATGAATCTTCCATTAAGGAAGAGCTGAGACAACTATTTTTTGCATCTTAAGTTTCCACTGTTGACACAAGTCAGGCCAGAACCATCACCAGCCTTCCACTCCTGGACTCCCACTGCAGCACTGTACAGTGGGGCCTTGACTTATGAGTTTAATTCATTCCGAGACCGAGCTTGTTAAGGAGCTTGTTAACTCAAATTACTCTATCAACTCAATGCAAAAAATCGGCCGAGAGACAGCTGGTATCTCAAAAAACTCGTTAGTTGGGACACTCGTAAGTCAAGGCCCCATTGTATCTTTTAGGACATGTGATATTTGCTGCCCAATATCTAGGCCAGAAATAAAGAAGTTCTAAACTTAACATGATGTTATTGGGTTTGATTGCTTTGAGGATTCTTTTAGACAAGCCAGCTAGTCTGTGATACTATCTGAACAATAGTATTTTTCTTCACCCATTTTCTAACACAAGTGAGGCAAAGAAGACAGTTAACAGCATTCCGGAAGCACCTGTGTGCTAATCACAAAATCCAAGTCTTCTGAACAAAGGTCTTGGACAGGCTTTAGGTCTAAAGCAACCAGGGAGGGGACCAAAAGTCATGCTTTTAACCTCAAAACAAAGGCCCATCTATAATCCACAAAGGGGACTTGAGGGTAACATGTAAGTTTCTATAGTTTTATTATATACCAAAGGGACAAAAAAATAGTTTGCCATCTTGATTTTTTTTAGCCATTACAATGAAAAAAACAACCACAGTGAAATATACTTTGTTTTTGTTTTTTTTTAAAGTGGCACTTACATCAGCCTGGCAAATAAACATAAGATGTTTGCAAACCCACAAAATGTCACCCATTAAGGCCTCCTTCCCACAGGGGAAACCCTCACATTTCACTCCCCTAGGAATATGCCATTAATTGCCCTCAGCATGTGTGAGTGGCTATTCACAAGTTAACTTTATAGCAATATTTAATTGAATGAATAGAACAATGTTGTGCTAATGAGGGTCAAATTGCCACCAGATGTTGCTTTTTTTTTTTTTAAATAAACACAGCTGTGTTACATGCATGCATAGGCAATACAGAACTAATAGTGGGGGAGAAAAGTAGTCCTAAGAAAACATTTGCAGGCAATAACAGAGAGAAAAATCTAGGGATTAATGAATTTCCATCCCACCTTTCATTTTTTATTTCAGGCATATAAAAATACACTGAACTTGGTATTGTGAATATGCTGTATATTACATATTATTGTAATACTGCATATTACACAGTATTTCCCCACTTATGAAATGGGAAACCTTCTCTCAGAGGGGACAGGTGAGTGCGCCAGTCTGACGGGAAGCCATCAACCACCTGGCTGTTCTGTGATGTCTTCCTCGAGGCGGCCCAGGAACCAGCTCGGAGTCTTCCAATCTCCAGCTGCACAAGCCCTTGCGCACACTTGGGAACACAAGAAAAGGACAGAAGTGAAAAACAGCATTTACGTCCTAAATGACCATATCAGAGCCTCTGCTCATCTCTGCAGCCAAGACTTGTAAATGGGTGATGAAGGCAAGAGAAAAAAGGAAATTCAGTAACCAAAAGAATCACACCAAATAGCAAAAATTTATCAACTCAATGGTATTCCTCTCAGGATTTGATGACTTCTTTAAATGTGTTAAAAGGGTTACATTTCAATTCCCCTCCCTGCTCTTGTAATAAAAGGGTCGGTGAGCAATGAAATAACTAAGCAAAAGGGGTGAAAAGGAAGACAGAGAAAACAAAGGCGGAGGTAATCCACAAATACAAATCCTCTTGAGTGATAACGGAGAGTGGATATCAGGAAATCAGGATTTAAAAATAAACAAAATTCATTTGCCTTCGCAAAAGCTTCCATGGCTATTTGTAAAACAGAATAACATGCACCTGGTTATAGTTGAATGGAAATTTGTAAGATTTTTTTTTAACCAGTTTCTTCTAAAGGAGGAGGGTCCATGTGACAGAGATACTTGGAAGTGAAGGGAGAGACAGCTTGGGTGGTAGCAAAACCACGGAAGCACAGCACTGTGACCTTGGCCATGCCGTTCTACCTTTCAAACTCCACTTGTGAAATGGAGGAATTGGTCTAGACCAGCCGTGGGCAAACTACGGCCCGCGGATACGGCCGTTTGAAATGAATAAAACTATTGAAAAAAAAGACCGTACCCTTTTATGTAATGATGTTTACTTTGAATTTATATTAGTTCACACAAACACTCCATCCATGCTTTTGTTCCAGCCCTCCGGTCCAGTTTAAGAACCCATTGTGGCCCCTGGTCTAGATAATCTTTAACATTCCTCAAGTGAGGAAAGCTGGGTTTGATGAATTCACGGTAAATATGCTCCCTGACATAGCCCTAGAGGGAGGAAGATGAATTTTCTGACACCAGGAGAGCCCATCTCATCAAATGCATTCATTTAGAGGACAATTGTGGATACTTGGAATTCTCACAATTATGAAAATATAGTTTAAAAATACCAACATAGGGTTCTCCTCAATTCTGCTAGTCAATATAATCCCTTGCTTGCCCTTCCTTCCTTCCTTCCTTCCTTCCTTCCTTCCTTCCTTCCTTCCTCCCTCCTCTCCCTCTCTCTCTCCTCTCTCTCTTCTCTCTCTCTCTCTCTCTCTCTCTCTCTCTCTCTCTCTCTCTTTTTTCCTTTCATGAGTTTTCTTTTAAAGCTATTCCTGGTTGGTGAAAATAATCAGAGATTACACTTCTAGTAAAAAGGAGAGTCACCATAACATTCACCCCATTGATAACCACACTAGATTAGTCTGGCTTCTGCCGGACTTCAGCTGTGAGCTGGGCAGGAAGCAGCCCAGGACTCACCTTGAGGACGGTGGCCACTGTCTCCTGTGAGGCATTTCTCATGTCTTCCCCATTCACAGATAAGATCTGATCTCCCCGAATCAATCTCCCATCAAGGTCTGCGGCTCCACCTTTCACGATGTCAGAAATAAACACTCCGTTTCCATTTCTGTGAATAGCATAAAGCAGTGGATATTAGCACAACTTAATATTCCTTTATTAAATTTGAGATTACTAACATTCTATATGGATTCACTGAGTTCTAAAGCTTGGAAGAAGGGCCCTGCAAAGCCATCTGACCCAGTGATAAACCTCAGAGTGCTCACCCTTTAAATAGATTATGCCTATTTATGCTGCCTATTGTAATGTTCACTTTTATTGGCCCAAGGGCATAATTTCTGCAAGAGGATAATTTTAGTGAAATGAAATGGAAATTAACTTTAAAAAGTGGAGTTAAGTATTCTTAAAATGTTATTTCCTTAGAGAGATCAGTTCAATTATTAGCATCTGATCTATTTCTAGACTCACACACCCCTTTCTGGACAATATATTTCAAGGTTTTATTTATATTTATTTGATGAATAAATAAATAGATGTCTCAAAATTCAAGAGGTTAAAAAGGGCTGACCTTAAAAAGTTTCCCTCTCACCTCTATTCCCTAGTCCCCAAGTTCCCTTCTTATAGGAAACCAATGTTACCATTTCTTGGGTATCTCCAGGAGACCTGCTGTGTACACACAAGCAAGTGCATGTGGGTATAATACATGTGTGTGTGTGTGAATGGATATACATGCACATACATTCTTTTTTACCTCCAGTTTTCTTTTCTTTAATTTTTTTTTTTATTATTGAATACACCTTGGCAATTGATCTTTATTGGCACTTCGTGTTTCCTCATTGGATTTTATGGCTGCATATTATCCTATGAATGTTCCTTAATTTCACTTATCAATAAACTATGGATGTATACATAGGTCATTTCCATTCTTTAGCTATTGCAAACAAGGTGCAACAAATAACATATCTACAAGCATATATTTAGGATAAATTCCTAGTTGTAGAATTGCTAGTCAAAGAATTATGAATTTTGAGAGTTTATATATCTGAGCCTTTACAATGGAACATTTTGTGCTAAGGAATGTGAGTGTTCCTTTAAAAATTCAATCTGAAATATTGGTGTTTTATGATGATTATTTCATCAATCTACTATGAGACAATAACGTAAAAACCATTATTCTTAGTGGAATTTCCCAAGTCCATGTATATGTCACAACAAGAAAGCAAACTTCAACATGTATTCTAGTTGTTCTGCACCCACAAGTGCATTGATTTTGGTTAAATATACAAATCTCAGCTTTTTTGTTTTGTAATGCATTTAGTAGTTAATATTTTTATTTTAATAGTAGTTTGGCCTGTTTGAAAAAAGCACTAGGCTAGTCATCAAAGGTCTATGAGGGCATGTGATATTATATATACTATATTTTTGGTGCAAACTATTGGGGACATGTTTCTTAACAGAAAACTATTGTCACGAAGAATTTGTGTGGCTCAAGTATCTCTACTCAGGTAGTTTTAGTAACCCCTCAACTAGTTTTAGTAACATAGTATGAAATTAACATGGCAGAGTAATTTTCTTAACCCAAGATTGCATAAATCTCTCTCTTGATATTAGCTGCTTCTTGGGTATCATTGTTTTAATTAACCCCTTTAAGCTTGAGATCTAAAAGACTATAAATTGAAAGAAATGTGCTAACTGTTCATACTTGATAAGGGCATAAGCCTGACAGTCCGGTTGATTGAGGTTAGAGTTTTCTCTTGCTATGACATTTTTTGGCAGTAAGATCTTGCTCAGAAATATGACCTATGTTGTTCAAGTATTCATGAATATGCTAATTTTAGAAATCATCAGTTTATACTAGGTTTTATCTTTCAGTGTTTTTTTTAAATTGATTTCAGAGAAGAAGGGAGAGGAAGAGAGAGATAGAAACATCAATATTGAGAGAGAATCATTGATTGGCTGCCTCCTACACAACCGCCACTGAGGATCGAATCCGCACATGTGCCCTTGATTGGAATCGAACCTGGGACCCTTAAGTCTACAGGCCAACACTCTATCCACTGAGCCAAACTGGCTAGGGCTATCTTTCAGTGTTTATAGGCATTAGTCCCTAGAACCCTGAAGGAAAGAGGCCAATCAATCCTGATCTGCATAGCACTTTTTTTTTTTTTTTTACCGTTTCCCAACGATGCTCAGGCCCAGTCCTCTGCCAGCCTTCTTCTGCAGATCTACAGGGAAAAACTCCAGGTTCTCCTCATCCCTGTAGTGTGTCTCATCTCTATACACCACCAGTCGCACCTTCTGGGGGGTGTGCCTCAGGGCTGTGATGGCTTCTTCGTGGCTGGCGTTCCTCAGATCAACCCCATTAACCTGGAACAACAGGCATCCAAGATGAGCTGGTGACAGCAGAGGCCTCTCACCCTGCTCTGTCTGCTGGAGCGCCTTGATCCAACCAGTGGAAAACCTCTAGAAATTGCTATCCATTAAAAAGGAGGTGACCCTTATACTCCCCCACCCCAAATAAGCATGGAGGGTGTGTTAGTATACATGATCATGCAATTTTGCATAGCTGTGAACTTTACCATGGAAGACAGAGAGAGAGAAAGAGAGAGAGAGAGAGAGAGAGAGAGAGAGAGAGAGAAGGGATGAACTGGCTCATTTAACTAAGGTCAAAGGGAAAATAAATATTAGTGTTTGGTCAGCATTTTTTTTTTTTAAAACGTATGTTTTTATTGATTTTTTTTTTAGAGAGAGAGGAAAGGAGGGTATGTGCCCCAACTGGGAATCAAACTTAGTGATCATTCAGTGCCTTTCAGTGCATGGACCAATACTTAACCAACTGAGCCACACCAGCCAGAGAGGTCAGCGCTTTTAGACTCAGTTTCCTTACTGAATTTGACATCCTCACTTTTAACTGCTGAGTCACATGTACTTCAGACCAGGCTGGAGGAAACGAGGGACCAGTATTTTCAAGAGCGTCTAAGACCTGCTGAAGTCCATTCATTTGAATCTGGATCTGAGTGAGCACAGATAGGACCACACGGGAGATGGCAAACTGTCCTGAAAATAGTGCCGAGTAAGCCTATTTCTGGCTCTACTTCTGGCAAAAGTCATGGAACCTCTGTTTCCTTGTCTGCTAAATGGAGATCACAGCTAAGTTATTTTTTACTTAAAAAATTTGTGTATTTGCCCTTCATGAATATTTACTCTTTTTAATCCTTATACTAACTTTCTGAAATAAACATTATTACCATATTACAGATAAGGAAACGGAGGCATGGAGAGGTTAAGTGACTTGACCAAGGTTGCAGAGTGAACATGCAGAGGAGCCAAAATCAGAAACTGACTATCTTCCTAGTTTCTATACCAATGCTGCCTCAAAAGTTACTCTTAGAATGGGTTACTGGAGCACCTTGTCACAGAGAAAGCCAAGGATTGATGCTGGTTAGTGAAATTTGACACAAGGGAGGAATCGAGAAGCAGAATAGCCCAGGATTCAAAGGAAGGGAGTCATGGCCACTCCCTCAAGGTCACAGGTAGGAAGAGCGAAACAGGGAAGGATGGGCCCGGGCCATACATGGCCAGGAGTATGGCATAATGGAAGAGTTCCCTCACGATGTTGGTTCTACTGTGTTCTGGTCCAGCAGTCACCAACCTTTCAGACCTCATGGAGCATCAGTGGTCCATGGACCACCAGTTGGCGACCATTGCTTCAACGATTTCCTTAAACCAGCGGTCACCAACCTTTTGGACCTCATGGACCACCAGTGGTCTGAGGACCCCAGTTGGCGTCCACTGTAATCTGGTCCATCCCTGTGTGTCCTGGGCAGGTCTCATCTACCTGTTGACCTCTATTCCTTCATTTGTACAGTGAGGGGCTGATCTGAGGCTTTTTCCAATTCTAACATTCCAGAGACTAAGGAATGTTAGAATTGTCATAAAGAATGGTGACAGCCCTAACCGGTTTGGCTCAGTGGATAGAGCGTCGGCCTGTGGACTGAAAGATCCCAGGTTTGATTCTGGTCAAGGTCCTGTACCTTGGTTGCGGGCACATCCCCAGTAGGGTGAGTTTTGAGCTGTTACTTAAAGCTGATTCTATCACCCAAGAAAATGTTTAAAAGCCTAAGTTTCAAGCTACTGTTTCTTTTCTGGTATATCTAGTGCTCAGAGGAACTATACCCAGAATGATAGTGGCTACGCATGGGTTTTGGATATAGCTGGACTTCATTTGAGTGCTGATTCAACTTATTATGTGGAACCTTATGTAAATTACTCATGCTAAGCTTCACCATTGTCATCTATGAATTGGAGATGATAATGATACCGATATTTGCTCAGTGTTGTGAGGATTCAATGGAACAACTCCTGCAATGCATTCGCACAGGGCTGGATAAGCTTGATATGTTAGAAGCTGACATTGTACAGGAAACTGAGGTAAGGGCAGTCAGAGCTGTTTCCTCTCAGCACCCGCCTTCCCTGTCACTGCAGGCCCATGAATTGTTGAAGTAAAACCCAAAGAACAGAGGGGAAAGCAATGTCTCTAGAAAATGTGGGCTGAGCTGATTATTTCCGTGTATTCCAATAGATGGCACACCAGACCACTTCTGCTACTCAGTTAAAAAAAATATTACCTCCATGGTTCGAAGGAGAATTCCTTAAGCCCTCTAAAATACCTTCCGAAGGACCCTAGCAATTAAACTTTTAATTAAAAGCATTGTCATTAAACTCTCCCACTACAAAAGCAATTTATACTAAATTCCAGCTTTGAGATGTCTGCTCAAATCAAAGTGATCTGCTCCAAGTTCTGTTTTCATTTCCTCCTCTGCTTATCAAGAGACACCACTAAATGCACACCACTCATAAGAGAAACACTGCTATGTGGCTAGAGTGTTGTGGAGTGATGTATGACCTTAAGTGCCTTACAGAAGCACTATATGCATTATTCAGAACCTTGCTTGCAGAGGGATAGCGGTGGTAATAGCAGGGCTCCTTATTTGAGCGGAAGGGCCATCAGAAGCCCCAGTTGTCAATGAATGTATCACATCCCGTGGGTAGGATGGGCAGGTAGGAAGGTGGGTGAACCATTGCTTTAGAAGGGAAGAATGATCCTCATTATTTTATTCCACAGGGAAAACCAGGCATTAGCTCTCTACTCTTTCTGCTCTGACCTGCACAAATAGCAGAGAATACTGCAAGAAGAGGTAAAGTAGAAAGAAGAAATGACCCTAAAATGACAGCCAGAAAGAAGATAGTCCATGTTAACCACAGAATCATAAATCTTGCCTTGCAAAAAAATTATTTGACTATATCTTTGTAAGCAAAATCTGGCATGTAGGCCAGCGCGCACAATGCAGAGAATCCTCATGAACAGAAAGGCAGTCCATGTTAACCACAGAATCATAAATCTTGCCATGCAAAACAATTATTTGACTATGTCTTTGTAAGCAAAATCTGGCATGTCCTATGTTTAACATGAGGATAATATGCCTCAGAATCTAAGCCCACAGAATCTGTAAACCACGGTAGGCCAGCGCGCACAATGCAGAGAACCCTCATGAACAGAAAGGTCATCGCTAGCCTTCTTTCTTTTCTTTTTTTTAAAATAGAATTTTACTGATTTCTTAGAGGAAGGGAGAGGAAGAGAAACATAGAAACATCAATGACGAGAATCAATGATCAGCCATCTCCTGCACAGTCTCAACTGGGGATCAAGCCCAAAACCTGGGCATGTGCCTGGACCAAAAATCGAACCGTGACCTCATGGTTCATAGGTCTATGCTCAACCATTGAGCCATGCTGGCTGGACAAGAGCTATCTTTCTTAACTAAAATATGATGTGCTATTGTGGACTAGATCCTATCCTGTCCATCTTTAATGAAAAGTATAGACCACTCATTCATAGTGGTTACAATAATTTGGCTAGATGCCAGGACATGGTTTATTTGACCTTATAAATTCTCCTTCTACTTAAATTTGCTTTTTTCATGCCAACCTGTCTTGAAGGTTCACTTGTACATGAATACACTTTATAGAAGAGAGCAGCTATAGCTGAGGGTCTATTCAATACAAATAGATATGGTTAAAAATTTTTATTGAGGTATAACTGTTGTAAAATAAATAATACATAAAGTGTACAATTTATAGTTTGAATTTATATGATTTTATACCTATGCAACCATTGCCTTAATCAGGATAATACACATATAAGCCATTATAGAATAATCTGTGGGCTTACAATCATATAGGTATCAAGGCATGTAGGCATCTGTACTCTTCTGAATATTCGATTTATTCAATTATAAAACTAATTATGGTACAACCTGTTAATTAGAAAATCCACCCCCAAACTCCTGACCATTACAAAATGGTGTTGTATGCTAACACAGTTAAGCCAATTCCCAAAGAGGCCTCACTTATTTTTCTAACCTCATACACTTGTACCTTAAATGAATGTACTGGGAATACGTCCTAATCCAATGATAAAGCACAGTAAAGGCCTGCAGAGAAATCCTATAACTTGCCCTGAATTTAATTTGTAGTCAGCCTGGCCTCTTTTAACTCCTTCTTGCCTATAGTTTCTGCCCTTAATTATATCTCTGGTTTCATCTTGGGAGGCAGACTTGAACCACCAAAGGGAAAAATAAAGTGCTCTGATGTCATTCATAATGTCGTAAATATTAAAGTTGCAAAGCAAAAATGCACATGCCCGCCATAAAATGTTAACTATTCAATTAAATTCATCCAATGGAAGAAATAAATGTTGCCTACAGGTTTCACACCATTGAAAAAGCTCTTTAGTTCCACCTACCAGGACGCCGGGCATTGACTTCCATTCATCCGTTCCCCTTCTCAGACACTGCCTGCCTTGGCACTTTTTAACAGGCTTTAACCCTTTGCTAAATGCGAGTCCATTTGAAAGGGGCAAGTTAAGCGTTTCAGTTCTTAATAAGTACCAGATGCCACCTAACGGGAAAAGGTTCTACATTTCCACCAACTAAAAAACAACCGTGGCAAGGCATGGGCCTCCATTTGACTTCAAGATTTATTAGGAATAAGAAAATATTACTTACAGCTACAGCAAAGTCTTTAAAATGTCAGGTGTGCATGTTTATGTATATGCACTTTTAGGAGGGAATTTAGGAAGGTATAATAGAGAGGCAAAAAAAAAAATCTAATTGTAACACTACATAGTCTCATTTGACATTAAGATTAGTACTTTTCCCTTGAATTAAAAAATGTTTGCACAGACAGATTTAGATTTATAATCTGTCATGATTCTAATGACACTTATTCAGTGTGCATGAAAAACAGGAAAAAATAAAAGTACATGTTTTCTTAAGTGGGAGAGAAATAATTGAGGATATAGTGGAGTAGAAGATAGCAAATATATAAATTGGATTTTGTGGGTTAAGGTTAGTAAAAACCTTGTGTTGGTACAAAATAAAATTCATAATCATATACCTCTAATATCTGGTCACCAGCCCAAAGTCTTCCATCTCTGGCTGCTGCTCCTTCCTCATAGACTTCATGTATAACTATAGCATCCTATGAAAGATAAATTCTTATTAATTTTCAACAACCACAAATGCTTCCTTAAACAAACCACCAACCCATCGGCAGCAATCCATAACTTGCTATTTGCTAATAATGTGATATTTTATTTGACCTAAAGATAAACAAAATACACAGTTATGACATATGCAGAGGTATAATTAATTTTTCCTAAGCTTATTATTTCATTCCTTCAGGCCTGGCTTTGCCTAATATTTCAAGTTAAACTTCCCCCAGGTGTTTTACTGTAAACTCTGAACATTGCTGCTGTGTATGAACTTGAGGTGAACTATGTGTCATTCTTATTTATATTTTATGGTATATTTTGAAACATGGTTTCAGGTATTTATTGGTATTCAAGGATTTGGCATAGATGTGTGGCCTGATGAATGGGGGTTGTCAGGCCTCATTACTTGGGCAATTAAAGAAAAGAACTTAGTGGAATGAACTGGCCCTGGACAGAGCATGGAGTAAGGCAAAGAGCATTCGTGCTCTTAAGTGTAAAACACCTATAGGTTCGAATCCTGACTCTGCCACTGGAATTTTGGGCAAATTAACTCCTGAACTCTGAGTCAGGAATTCTGAGTCATAAAATGAGGACAGTATCTACGGAAGTAAGCTCTGGTTGAGGAAAGGGTTTCATAGTTAATGAATTTAAAAAATAATTTGTATCTTTTCCATCTTAAAATTTTTATCACCATAAAAATAACATGTGCCATAAAGGACTCAAGAAATATCACAGTAAACACTGAAGGACAAAACAAAACAAAACAAAACAAAAAAACAAAAAAAACCAAATACTGAAGAAGAATGTCTCCCACACCAGGCCCTCGGTGACACTCCCTAGAGACAACCACCATCAATGGTTTCATCAGAATCCCTCCAGCCAATTTACCTCTACTAGTATACACCCCAAATTTATGTTTTGGGGGGACTATTTTAAAAATATTCAATGGAGTTTATTCACACAATTTTTCTCCTTCATATTGAGCAAGTAGGTAAGCTTTGAAATTTCTTGTCTTGGGTATTTTCGTGGAGCTGAAAATGGAAGCAACCAGGTCATTGGTTCTTTCTGTTGTTTATAAAGCTGACTGAACAGATGTTGTTGAATGGACTATGCTACGTGTCTTAGAAGGCCGCTGGGAGAAGAAAAGAGCTTTTGAGAGGAGACTAGAAACAGAGATCTGTGGGTTCCATGAGAAGTAAGGATTGAATCCTCGCACTACCTGGTGCCCTCCCATTCTCTGCTTCCCAATCCCCCAGAACACACACAGGGTTCAAGAACCCGCAGGCAATGGTCAAGGCGGGTCAGGCTTGAGGTATAATGATCCATCTTGAAAGAAGTCCAATGTCCCAAGCACGGGGGCTTAGAAGTTGCAGGACTTCGGGTATTTCTAGTCTTGAAGAGATCATGTAGGCTTGGGCACCTATGGGCTTGAATGATTACCAGGGCGGACTGATGACAGTGTCCGCAGGGGCCTATCCAAGTCTGGGAGCTTTTGGAGAAACAGGAACCCTGAGAGTTCATGAGCTGCCAAATGACTGGGTTGAATTATGCTTTAGTCCAGAAATATGGAGCTTCAGAATTAGAATTACATTGACATTAAGTAAATGAAGAAATGAAATATTTCTTGAAAAAAATATAATAAATAAGACAGGAAAATAAACCCAACCCATCTACTCCTTAAAAAAGAAGGTTCCTACACTCTTGAGTGAGGATTTTTTTTTAATCCTCACTCAAGGATGTTTTTTCCATTGATTTATAGAAAAAGAGAGCAGAAGGGAGGGAGGATCAGGAGAGAGAGAGAAAAACATTGACTTGAGAGAGACACATCAACTGGTTGCCTCCCACACATGCCCCCACTGGGGCTGGAGAACTGCAACAGAGGTACGTGCCATTGACCGGGAATCAAACCCGAGACCCTTCGGATGTGACCACTAAGCAAAAACTGGCCAGGCCTACATAAATTCTTGAATAGAGAAGCAACAAAAGAAAATAAGAGGTCTATAACCATATGACCCATCTGGATTCCAAATATCTTCACAATATTAAATAATTTCATTTTATCACCACACAGTTCTGAAAACATTCTTTATGATAGCAATGAGAGAAGCAGCCCCCAAAAGCCAGGAACGTTTCCTTGATCCGGACAATTTACATTTCAGACTCTGCCGTAATGGATTTAGACCATTCTTTGTTGTAAATGACTTATGAAATTTCCAGGCCCAGGGAGCATTTACACTGCCAAGAATTTGTTCCGCTGAACTGTTCCAGGGAAATGGTTTTGAAAAAACTTGCTGGGTCAGTGGCTTGAGGTGATCCCAATAACACTGCTAAGATGACACCAAGAGACATTTTTATGAAGGCAACGCGGGGAGAAACTCACGCAAGCTCCCGGTAATGCCCTATGTTACGCTGGTTTGCAGTTTGGTGGTCAAACGCCCATCGTCACTGGATGGGGAGAATCAGACTGGACTCATACTACTCATGGCTTTTACAGAGCTTAATCTTCAGCATACACCCCTTTGATCTTGGAACATTACAAAAGTCAAATGGGAAATTTCCCTTCATTCATACTCAAAAGGAAGGAAAAGACCCCATAAAGTTTTTATTCCATAAAAGTTTGCCTGAATTCTTATATACTTTCTGGGTGCTCAATGAACTATTATACATAAAACAAATATACTGTTAATAGTCTCAAATAAATGCTGAACTCACTGCCAATGATCTGTTTTGGGGCCATACGTCTTTCTGTACGAAAACCTCCCCATTCTTTCTTTCCTTTTGTTTGACTGCTCTCTGATTTCTCTTAAAGTTATCAGGGAAAATACCAGAGAACATGAGACACTATGACTATTGGTAGAAAAAGTCTGCATTTCTTACCACGTGCCCTTGTGTGGTTCTGGACAGTTGCATTAACTGGGGGTGACAGAGGTAAGAGGGGACGGATAGTTAAATTGGAAAGGGGATGGTGAATTGAAAAGAAAAACAGATTTGATTTATTCTTCAAAAGTTATATAGTTTATAGGGTAGGACGGGAGAGTAAAAAAGATACTAGATTGGGATATATAAAGCATCTATTTGACAAGGCTACATTAAAATGGTACATCTGGCACCATACACTGTTATTACAATATCATTGACTATATTCCCTCTGTTGTATTTTACATCCCTGTGACTATTCTGTAACTACCAATCTGTATTTCTCAATCCCTTCACCTCTTTTACCCAGTCCCCCAACCCCACTCCCCTCTGGCAATGATCAGCTGTTTCTGTTCCTGTGAGTCTGTTTCTGTTTTGTTCGTTTGTTTATGTTGTTCTTTAGATTTCACATATAAGTGAAATCAGATGGTATTTGTCTTTCTCTGACTGACTTACTTCACTTAGCATAATATCAGGGCCCACTGAATATAAATGGTAATTGAAAGTATCTAAGAAATTTTACTTCTTGCTTTTGAAAAATTGTTGATTAGGTGAAATAATGGGTCATTAATGAAAGACTGACTTTCATTGTTTTAAATAAAAAATTTGGAATTGATGATACACATCTTATCTCCTCATATTTCTTCCTAAATTTTAATGCTCTGAAGCTTTCACACAAAACTGCTTGTTGGTACAACTGTGAGGGCCCTTTCTCCCACTCTCCTCCCTTCCTATCTCTGTGCATTTAAATAACATTCCTCCACCCTAGAAAACTTCAGTGGCTCTGTCTACCCACACTAATGATTTCTAAAGCTCATCCATTCTAGTAGCAGTCTAATAATCATTTTCCTGGGGGTGGGTTGCTGGCTTGTGGCTTTAGAGACAAATGATTATGAGGTAGGCCTCTGAAGTCAGACTTCTCAAATCCTGGCCTTGCTACTTCTGGCCATGGTCCTTGGAAAGACCTCCCCAGGCCTTAGCATCCTCATTTTCATATGGTTTTAACAATACTACCTACACACAGTGCCAGCACATTGCCACGAAGCAGTAACATCTCATTTATTTAACAATAGGCACCAAAGATACTACACACTTCCCATTTGTAGCCATTTACTCCACTTAACAACCAAGCAACCTCAGTATTGTTAGTTTCATTTACACTTGGGGAAAAAGAGGCTCAGAAGGGTTTAGACTTGACCAAGTCTTTACAGCTTCCAAGTAGGAGAGATTAAATTGAACTTGGGACTGTTTAATGCCAAAGCCTGTGTTCCTACCACTATAGCAAGATTCTCATCTGTTTTGAATATTTCATTTTGCACTTGTATAAAAGCTGACTTGGGATTTTCCATATGGCATCAATTCTGTTGAAATATTGTCTCCTCAACTCAATAGCAAAAGCCTTGAGGGCATGAGCTGATCATTTTATAGAGAGTGAACAGAAAGACGACTTGTGGAAGTGAAAATTGAAGCCTTTGGCTTAATGAGGTGGGGTGATGATCTGTGGATCTCTCTTGCCAGTGTTGGTACATGACCAGGGTTTGACACTAAGCACAATGGGTAGGCCCTCTCCCCACCCCAACCTCCCTCCCTCCCTCCTTGCCTTTCCTCCCTCTCTCACTCCTTTCCTTCATCCCTTCCTTCTTTCCTCCTGTCCATATTTTCAATCTGTGCACCCATAGTATTCATTGAATGATTTTTTTATACATGAGTGGTTATAAAACATTAAATACAATGATAAAAATTATCCTACATAATAAACGCCCAGTGACTGAATGGCAGAATGACCAGAACGACTGGTTGACCAGTCGCTATGACCACCAGGGGGCAGACGCTCAATGCAGGAGCTGCCCCCTGGTGGTCAGTGCACTCCCACAGTGGGAATGCTGCTCGGAGGTGCAGGTCCACAGCCACTTGGCTGACCAGCACTCCCACAGCGGACCAATCCCTGCAGGCCATGCCCCCCCACCAGTGCACTAATCCCGTGCACTGGGCTTCTAGTGTTTAAAATAAAAGGTTGTCCAGTCCAAGAAAACATATTTCTGCTACTTAATGGTATATAGATTTGAGACTC